TCCACTAAACTGGACACAACTAAGACTCTGTAGTTAAAAGTTCTATGGTAAAAAATGTTTATTAGGCGCTGAAATTTAGTTAACAAGTGGCATAATATGTAGTCAATAAATGTAATTTGTGTCATTTAATAATATTTTTAAAAAATTAATTGTCTGAAGCCAGAGCAAAAAAAACCCCAAATAATACAACTATAAAATACATAAGTTTTTAATTGATGGTTGTCGGTCAGGTTTTTAGTAATATCACATACTCCTTAGCATTTTCAAGACACAGATAATTTTTCCTCTTGCTGTATGAAACATCTTCAATACATAAGTATTGAACTATATCACCAAATGTGTTCACTATGTTTAAACTATTCCTGAAATCCTTTGGGGAAGCATTTGCAAGACAATGTTGTTAGATAGATTTCATTACAATGACACAAATTTTAAATGAGCTATTTTTCCAAAGCCCAGAAAGCATCAAAAAGCAAATTTAAAAGCGACATTGTGTATATGATTCATGAAAACACCAACACTATAAATTAATGATGTCTTATAACTTACTATATCAATATCAAAATGATACAAAAAGGAATCAAATAAAATGTACAGCTAAAATTTTTAGTGCTAATTTATCTTTCTAAAAACCCCACAAAACATTTGCATATACAAGATAAGAATAAAATTGTATCTTTTGGAAACTGTAATGTTAATATAGATTGTGCTATGCCAGTAATGTTCCTTCCTATGTTAAGATTTCGTATTGCTTAAAGTAAGAAAATAAAGTATTAAAAATTAAACCAAAATACAGCAAATTTTCAGATACTAATGTTTAAGTAAAGGATTATGTTTCTCCTTCAACTCTAGATATAGAGATAAAACATAGAAGTAAACCTAACAATAGGTAGTGTGTCAAATAAACATTACAACTTTAAGATTCAAGGAAAAACACTTTAGCAACTCTTTGAAGATACTAAAATCAAAGGTATGACTTAGTGTAATGATAACTATCCTATTAAACCCACCCAACAATGTTGGAAATTATACTGTTTTATTTTCTCTACTTGTTATAGTTCTATTTATCACTAATTTTGCCTTAACATATATACCAATAAATGTCCAATATTCTTTGCATCTAAGATCAAAGTACAGACTGCAACTTTTAGAAGCTGTAAGACATTCACATTCATATGTACTACCAATATCATAACACTCTTCCTTCAATGATGTAAACAGAAATAATGTTTTAAATTCATTATCTCCTCTGATTTGCAAAAAATTATCATAATTATACAATTCTAGTTCTAAAGTTTAATTTGGCCACTATATTTTCCCCTTTTCAAAATAAAAGCAATGTTGGGTCTTTCCTTCCCTATAAAAAATTTCACTTACATTCTGCTTTTTTATGATTTAAAAAAACGTATAATGGTTTGTGTTTTTTTTTTAAAAAGCACCACCCAATTTGGACAGTAAGAAAAACTGAAATATAATGAATGTACAAATAATAAGTTCAAATTTTAAATTAGCAACCATAAAATGAAATATTTTTTATTAAACGTGATCCTAGTTTTATAACCACAAATACAAAAACAGTGTAAAATAGACACAGATTCCAACACCATAATGAAGGATTCTGTTTGACTGATGTAATGAATATCATATAATAGAATAAAAATAAGTATACTATGATATGTTCTAAAATCTAAGGAATATAAGAAAATATTTATTGCATACATCCGTTATCATTTCCAACCAATAATGCACTCAGTAAGTTTTTCGGATTACCTACCTGAACCATCCATTAAATAATTTCTACAGATAAAAATCAGTATGTTTATTAACAAAACCCAAACATATCCTTATGCCAAATAAAAGAATAAACATAAACTATCATCATTCTGAAAAGGAATACAATAATATATTCCTCAAACCAAGAAAGCTGTTTTTTACTACAAAGTAACTTGCTATAAACTAATTATAAAAAGATATATAAGTAAATCAAATTGGCTTGCTCTAATCATGTAAGGAAAAAAGGTATATTCCTAAACCACCAGAATTAAGTCAGTACTCTGTAAGATTTGATTTTGAAATAGATAAATGGATTATGTAGTACAGCAAAAATGATCTACTTGCAGATCATTTTATCTGATTGCAGTAATTGAAGAATACATTTTACAATTCCTCATCACACAATTTTCTCGTTTGTTATTTAATACATGACATTGAAAAACACAATGCAATATCCAGCTGTACAAATTGTCAAATTAATGTACAAAAATGTTTTCTTCATTTCAACTATAATTTTAAAAATTACTCATAAAGGCAGGGTTGCTTAAGATATTTTCTAAAGAAATAAGAAAAACAAGCAAACAAGGAAATTATATTGGCTATAATTTTTTAAAGCACCTATCATTTGAGTTAAAATGTATTAAAATGTCCCCAAAGTGTGTCTGTATTCGGTGTTATACATCCTGAAGAAAGTTTTCGAAAACACACTAGTATTTTAACTAAACCTTACAAACACAATTACATTGTTTAAAAACTTGGGTAATTTGAGAAAATCCATTAGGTTATACAACTAAAGTAGACTTTTCCCCAAATATGCTCTCTTACCAAATAAGAAACAGAAAAGGGCTTCATGAAATAAACACTAGGCATATTTATTCTAGTAGATTATGACAGTCATAAATATACATATATATAGCTTTAAGAACTTCATATATGTATGAGAGACACAAAAATGGGATTCCAAATGATTTCATTAATCCTATAAGAAATTCTTTATAACTTTGTGATAAGATCACAGTTTAGTTCATCTGAGATGTGCAAGGTAAGTGTCCCTTACGTACATCTGAGTAAGAGAAATTGAAAAGAGCTCAGAGGCTATGTTGAAGAATACCGGGATCTTAAATTATTCTGCAGACTTGTGGTCAAGTGTGAAGAGAAAGACTATTAAAATTAAAGTCTATCTGAAGCAAAGAGATTATCTGTCCAAACAGGTAATAATCTGGTTAAAATTGTATTTTAATACAAACTGTTCAGAATTCTTTAAGCTTCTTATAAACTACAAGGCTTTATTTTATCCTTAAAATTGATCCCACACTGTATGATTGGTTTCCACCTGTTACCGGCAAAGCATAGCCTTCTTTTATCCGACATTTCAACTCACATTTGATCAGGTTACGTCACTACACACTCGAATTTTATTCAACGCATTCCAGCTTTCCATTTTTTTCCAACAGATATTCTTGCTCTATACAAATAACATGCCTCAGAACTATAAATAAAATATTCAATTTCAATATAATAAGCAAAAAATGTACAACTAAGTGGACTAAAAACAAAAGATCTAATTCTCAGTGCACCCTTTCCAACCCACTGAAAATAAACTATATTCAAATTAAAAGACATTTAATTTACTATTTGGAATATCCTTGATAAACACTAATTTTCTGTAACATCCCTGCACATCTGATACCACCTCATGTATAATGCAAAAAAGCTATTTCATTTTCATCTATTGACAGTGAATTTAATTTACTATTGCACCTCTTTTCCTAGAACTATCACATTATTAATTCTGCAATCAAGCTCTTTTGAGTGCTTTTATTTGTACTAAGGGTTTTCACAATCCCATATTGATTTTTTTTTATCATAATATACCTTTTAAATATATGAATGGGAATATGTTAGCAAACTTTCTTAATGCATAAGGGAAGTTTCAGAGACAAGGACAGCCATCTGCAAAACTACACTCACAGGAAACAAACTTTAGAGGAACATCGTGTCTAATATATTACATTTTAGTTTAATGCTTACAAAAAATACTACATTTAATTTATAAAACTGAATGATAGTTTCAACCATTCTAAAACCTTCTTATCCAGTATAATGGTCTGTTTCTAACACCAAGTGATTGGCTATGAAAAAGAAGTCCTCCAAATGTTCTGCTTACATTCATGCCAGATGTCTTTGCTGTATTAAAGAACTCTTACTGAATTAGATCACTGAAAGCAAATCAGCTTTTCTTTTCCACCAGGAAGAAAAAAAATTAAAGCAGTATTGGTTCCCTCAGCACTGAATTAACGTTTTTGATAGCCATAAAGATAAAATAACCTTTAAAAAAAAATCGCAGAAAGCTAGATTTAAATAAAAGCAAATCAGCTGATAATGTTTTATCTAGGAAATGTACTACTCAATTACAGAGACTTTTCTCTTAAACATAAAATACATACAGTGATTAGCAAAATATAAAAAAGAAAAAGAAAAAGATGGACATGCAGAACTATTTAACACTTAAGAAGGCATACTTGAAAGTAAAAATCAAAAAATTTATACCACCTAGGAAACTTCCCATATTCCAGTAGGTTACTGTACTACACTAACTGTCAACATATTTAATCAAATTTAGCTCTTAAGTTAACATGAATTCTGAAGCATTATTTTACTTCTTGCATAACAGTATAAATTTCCTTATATCAATTGCATTAAAACTGAAATATTTAAAAAATCTGAAGAGGCAACATTTGTCCTCTTTACTTCACTCCAAGGCCAACAAACAAAGCAATGAAGCAGAAAGAGGTACATAATGGATTCAGAAGTAAATGGTCCATTCTTTAAGAAGCCTCCCTACCCCCCTCTTCGGAATTCACTCTAAGCTAATTGTCATTACAATGATGTCTGAAAACTTCAGAAGAACCCTATTTCCTGATGCCAGATGTCCAGGTTTCTATCTTGAAATTTTTGAATTTTTTTGCTAATAAGAATTATTCAGAAATACCCGAATCATCTTGCAACTGGTCTAATTCACATACACAGTACAACAATTATAGGAAAAAGGCATAATCAACAATAGAAATAATCTGAAAATTTTTCCACAACATACTCCAATAAAGCAATATCTAAATAAAGTCTCCAGTATTGTTTAAAAATTCTTTCAAGACAGCATACAACACATGTAGATCTTTCCTTCCTGTAGGGAGCTCATCAAACAATCTCTTCACCATTGCACCTACCTGGGTAAAAATCTTTGGACTTAGACAGCTTGATGGTGGCTCCAGTTTCTTTTTGCAACTGAACAATTGTCTGTCCTCCCTTCCCAATTATAGATCCAGCAGCATAACTAGGTATGAGAACCTTTAGAAAATACTGGCCGTCTTCTGAAAAATGCAAAGAAATATACTCGGTTAACACAGTATTTCAAACTTTGTATCCCCTCTCCACCCTCAAGAGAGAAAAACAGCAACTAAAGCACTGGGTATATAACTGCAGGAAATACGAAGTTAAACATGTTTTGAGAATGAAAATAAGCCAATTACACTGAAAAACAAATATGTACAAAATGTTTCCCATTTTATAGGATTTATACTTTCAAAGCTTGGAATTAAAATATAAACATATACTATTATTTTGCAGCACTGTAAAGACTGGTGACTAAATTCCAGTTGTTATTCCAAACATGGAAATCTTCCAATTCTATCTGTGGCAAAATGAAATGAACTGACCCTTTAACAAAACTTCAGAGATTTATAAGATGACGAACCTTCACTTAACATATTGAAAAAGAAGAAAAGCCCAGGACTGTAAATAGTGATGAGCTGTATTTATTTGTCATTAACAGACACATAAGGACTACAATTAGCCATTGCCTATATCCTACTTAAAGTCCGCAAAACAGCCATTCTCCTACCAAATAATCCACTCAAACTGTGGGGTGTATTCCAAGTCTTCAATAACTGCCAGAAAATAACTCAGTGTGGTGGACTGGCAAATCTAACTAATCCTAGTGCATTTCTTTAGCAATTCTTAGTCTACCGTGAGCTCCTTTAAGCTCATTAATTAAAGGACCTTAAGAAGAATTTTGCCAATACTAAAAAGCTTAGGAGTCATTTATATTAAATACTATTAAAAGTGACAAAACAGATAATGTTCCTTTCCCAAAATAATCACAACTTTTAAAACGGAGAGGGAGTCGAAGAATCAGGAAAAATAAAATGAAATGTTTTAGAAAATAAAGCCAACTCCACAAACTTTAATTTCCATCAACTTGATCACGTCTTATACAGGAGACACCCCGGTAAATCCAGCTTTCTTAATGTGAATGAATGTTCCAAATGTTGCGGTGTGCCACTCAAAAGACCCCCATCCGTCTACAATGCATATGCTGGAGATAAATTCACCTCTGCTTCGATGCATTGGGTGCATTGTTAAGATGACTCCAGTGCAAATGAAGAAGCGATATCGGTCCCGTTAAAACTCATCTTCCAAGGAAGCGCAGGATGTTAACTAACAAGTCACCGTTCCAGACACCCCCAACCTCGTATGCACCCCCCTGAAGACAAATCAATGAAATATTTGCACCGACAATCTAAGTGCGGTAAGGGCATGCACTCATCAAGATTTTGCATACTACTTGTGGCCCAAAGCAAGAGGATGGAGAGAGGAAAAACTCTCCGGCGCCCCAATCATTCGCAATCCGCTACCCAAGTGCCATTTATTTATTTATTTTATCAGACTGTTAAACGCAGCGCGCATCTTCGGGCGGCCATCACCTCACTCCGGGGTCATCCTCCTCCTCCTCCTGAATGGACCGTCTTGCCCAGGTCTAGGATATTTACATGGTCAACCTCTGGACCGATTAAATGGAAAGATAGGTCTATTCCGAAAAACTGGTCGCCATTTTGATGAATGATAAACACAGAAATGGAAATGTGTAGGGGACAGCTAGGAGCGGGGCAGGTGCAGGGGAG